ACATGGAAGGGTGACTCACCCATTACAGTCACAGGCAAAAGACAGACTCCTTAGGGGAAGAAAAAGAACATCACTTGAATTCAAACACTACCAAAACCAACACTTAACAGAGTGGGACAGTGAGAAGCATTACTACATCTTAAAAACACCTCCCTCATCCCTCCCTTCTCCCTGGGCTCAGCCCTGTTCCTGATCCAACTCCTCCGCTGCAATGGCCCAGGGAAGAGGGCTACAGTCAGTCCACTGATCCTTCCTCCTTAAGGGGAAGACTCTTCACATTCTCTCCTGCTCTAGCATGGTGTCCCTCTCACGGGATACAGGCCTCCATGAACTTTCTCCAGAATGAGTCCTTCCCACAGGATGCAGCCATGCCCAAGTTGCCCCAGTATGGGTCACACCAGCGTGTTTCAGTCCTCCCAGTGCCAAACCACAACAGCCGGGGCTGTTTCTTCCCACAGAGTCATGGCCTTCTTTGGGCACAGCCACCCGCTCCAGTGTCAGCTCCTCCACAAGCCCCAGGTCAGCATCTGCTCCACAATAGACCTCAATCTCACCACAGGATACAAGGGGGGAATCTCCTCTGGCACACCCCACCCCCTTTCTCCTCCCTCCTTCCACTCACCTCAGCATTTTCACAGGTGTCCTCATCACAACCCCCAGATCCTCCTCCCCAGTTCCCCTTCTTAAATACATTATCACAGAGGTGTTGCTGCCATTGCTAATTGGCTCAGCCTTGGTCAGAGGTGGGTCTGACTTGGAGCTGGGGGAACTTCGAGAAGCTTCTCATAGGAGCCACCACAGTAGCTCCCTCCCCCACTATCAAAAACCCTGCCACACAAACCCAGATGAATGCAATGTTAATCCACAAATATCCCATGCTTTATTCTATAACAAAGATTCAAGTTCAGAAAATATCTGCAGAAGCATTTAGAATTATGATAGATGACAGAATATTTTGAAATTATGACAATTTAATGAATTTTTACCTAGAGAATTATTTTAGCTCCAAATGCTAAAGAGATCATGGAAGAAAAATTACATTTTACTTGCACGGAATATGCAGTAGGAGAAACAAAGATGAGACTATGCTTGACATAAAACTTTAAATAATTTAATGAAAACTTGTAAGTTATCAAAACTAGTTAGTTAGTGAAACAAACATTGTTATCCTCCATCCTTTTTTATATTATCATAGTGTTAAAGATGCATTTATTTGCCTTCTTATCCTTTTCCTTATATCAACATCTCCAAAACATAATGTAAAATCTTTTTTCCATATTATGAAGCATTGAGCAATAAAAGGATATAAAACTTCTCTGTTCTCTATTCTATAATTTACATAAAGAACATTTTCACCGAAAGATAAGTTCATATTAGTCCTAAAATAACAGAACAACTGTGCTGAAGCATGGATAAAAAATGTCCATAAAGATCACAGGTAAAGTGTTAGTGGAAAATTATTTCTGAAACCTTCAAGAGTATGCAGACTTCCTGAGATCAATTTCACTATGTCCTAGTTTGGACTTATGTGATGCAAAATCTTTGTTATTGCTCTGAGATGGTCTTAGTGGTTCACAACATTTAGAACCTTTTGAGTCTTTAGCTAAAGAAGTTTTTTTTGTTCACAGTTTAATGGCAACATTTGTCCTTGGTAGCTGAAGAACTTCAAATAATATCTTTCTGATGTGTGCTGAACTTTCTTGCTTCTTATCTATTAAAACCTCTTTGGTTTTTTTTTTTTTTTTTCCCCAAATCTTTGAAGCTGAAACATCATTAAGAAAAGACAATTTAAATCCTTCGTAGAGACAAATGTTAAATAATTCTCATCACTTTCAGAATCTTCTCTCTATTAGCACAGTTATGGTCTCTGATAACTAAAAGCCAGATGTTTCCCAGTTGAATGAGGATGGGAACAAAGCATAGTTTTATGTGCTTAATTAATCTTAAACAGAAAATTTCTAGATCTTCCAAGATGCTGAAAGAGATATTTCAACATTTAAATTATTTTAACATTTTCATCTATTAAGCAACCTCTCTTTTTTGTATCTGCTTCCTCTATAGTGTTTTCGTTTGTTTGTTTGTTTGTGTTTTTGGTTGGTTTTTGTTGTTTGTTTGTTTGTTTGTTTGTTTGTTTTATATATATACAACTAATACTCTGCCTTCAGTAGCAGGACAAAATGCATACCTCATCAAAGCAGCACATGAGTTTCTTAGGTTTTTTTCCCAATGTTACACTAGAGATAGCTCCTGGAGCTGAACATAGGTGTTGCCTGGGAAATCTTTGATTCAGAATTTATTCATCCGGTAGAAAATTATCAAATCACCTAGACAAATGTTTCAAAACAAATACTTTGTTTTTGCCCAAGACTGTGTAGGGAATACTCTCAGAGTGAACAAAGATTGTATAATGACAAAAAGATGGCTAAGTGGGTTTGGGCTACTTAAAAACTTCATATTTCTTCTCTGAGTTAGCAGAGAAGGGATTTAAAAGTTTCACAATTCTGGTGGTTATTCAGATTATTTAATTCTGCTGTTAATTGTCCTGAACAGTGGGTGACTTTCCCCTACCATCACCTGAAATGTGGTGATCAGGTGGTCTGGGCTAAAGGCCGAGAGTGCGGGGCCAACGGTCAGGTGGTCTGGGCTAACGGCCGAGGGGGCGTGGCTAATGGCCGAGGGGGCGGGGCCAACGGTCAGTTGATCTGGGCTATCGGTCAGGTGGTCTGGGTTTACGGAACAGGGGGCGGGGCCAATGGTAAGGTGGTCTGGGCTAACGGGCGAGGGGGCGGGGCCAATGGTCAGGTGGTCTGGGCTAATGGCCGAGGGGGAGGGGCTAGCGGTCGAGGGGGCGGCGCCAATGGTCAGGAGGTCTGGGCTAACGGCTGAGGGGGTGGGGCCAACGGTCAGGTGGTCTGCGCTCACGGTCAGGTGGTCTGGGCTAACGGCCGAGGGGGCGGGGCTAACTGCAGAGGGGGTGGGGCTAACGGTGGAGGGGGCGGGGCCAAAGGTCAGGTGGTCTGGGCTAACAGCCGAGGGGGCGGGGCTAACGGTCGAGGGGGCGGGGCCAACGGTCAGGTGATCTGGGGTAATGGTCAGGTGGTCTGGGCTAATGGCCGAGGGGGCGGGGATAACGATCAGGTGGTCTGGGCTAACAGCCGAGGGGGCGGGGCTAACGGCCGAGGTGGCGGGGCCAGCGGTCAGGTGGTGTGGGCTAACGGCCGAGGGGGCGGGGCTAACGGCCGAGGGGGCGGGGCCAACGGTCAGGTGGTCTGGGCTAAAGGCCGAGGGGCGGGGCTAACGGCCCAGGGGGCGGCGCCAAAGGTCAGGTGGTCTGGGCTAACGGCCGAGGGGGCGGGGCTAACGGCCGAGGCGGCGGGGCCAACGGTCAGGTGGTCTCGGCTAATGGCCGAGGGGGCAGGGCCAGCAGTCAGGTGGTTTGGGCTAATGGCCGAGGGGGCGGGACTAACGGCCGAGGGGGCGGGGCTAGCCGTCGAGGGAGCGGGGCCAACGGTCAGATGGTCTGGGATATCGGCCGAGGGGGCGGGGCCAACGGTCAGGTGGTCTGGGCTAACGGCCCAGGGGGCGGGGTAACGGTCGCGGGGGCGGGGCCAAAGGTCAGGTGGTCTGGGCTAACGGCCGATTAGGCGGGGCTAATGGTCGAGGGGGCGCGGCCAACGTTCTGGTGGTCTGGGCTAACGGCCGAGGGGGTGGGGCCAACGGTCAGGTGGTCTGGGCTCACGGTCAGGTGGTCTGGGCTAACGGCCGAGGAGGCGGGGCCAAAGTCCCAGGGAGCGGGGCCAACGGTCAGGTGGTGTGGGCTAATGATCAGGTGGTCTGGGCTAATGGCCAAGGGGGCGGAGCCAACGGTCAGGTGGTCTGGACTAATACCCGAGGGGGCATGGCTAATGGCCGAGGGGGCGGGGCTAGCGATCGAGGGGGCGGGGCCAACGGTCAGGTGGTCTGGGCTCACGGTCAGGTGGTCTGGGATAACGGCCGAGGGGGCGGGGCTAACGGTCGAGGGGGCGGGGCCAACGGCCAGGTGGTCTGGGCTAACGGCCGAGGGGGCGGGGCTAACGAAGAGGGGGCAGGGCCAACGGTCAGGTGGTCTGGGCTCACAGCCAGGTGGTTTGGGATAATGGCCGAGGGGGCGGGACTAACGGCCGAGGGGGCGGGGCTAACGGCCGACGGGGCGGGGCCAGCAGTCATGTGGTCTGGGCTAACGGCCCAGGGGGCGGGGCTAACGGCCGAGGGGGCGGGGCCAACGGTCAGGTGGTCTGGGCTAATGGCCGAGTGGGCGGGGCCAACGGACAGGTGGTCTGGGCTCACGGTCAGGTGGTCTGGGATAACGGCCGAGGGGGCGGGGCTAACGGCCGAGGGGGCGGGGCCAACGGTCAGGTGATCTGGGCTAACGGCCAGGTGGTCTGGGCTAACGGCCGAGGGGGCGGGGCCAACGGTCAGGTGGTCTGGGCTAACGGCCGAGGGGGCGGGTCTAACGGCCCAGGGGGCGGGGCCAACGGTCAGGTGGTCTGGGCTAACGGTCAGGTGGTGTGGGCTAACGGCCGAGGGGGCGGGGCTAACGGCCGAGGGGGCGGGGCCAGCGGTCAGGTGGTCTGTGCTAATGGATGAGGGGGCAGGGCTATCGGCCGAGGGGGCGGGGCTAACTGTTGCCTATTGCAGGCATGGCGACCTGGTTCAGGAACGGCATGGAGGCCAATCCCCGGCCGCTCGGTCCATCTGCTCACAGACACCAATGTGGTGGACGGAAAATGGCGTTTTATTTCTGAATGACACAGCCTTATATAGCTTGAGTTTACAACATCACTTCCGTCTGCTTACATCATAAACTAAGCACTATAGGGAGAGGGGTCATACCTTTCCGTACAGCGTGATATCTTCCGGCCGCCAGACCCTAACTACCTACATTTCCCCCCTCCCTATGCACGACTAAACTAACTAAAATAGAAAAACATAGGAAACTTAAATGAAAATATAAGGCACAATGGACCGGTGGAAATTAGAGGGTAACTAGTAATAACAGGGTGCTATTTAGGGTAACTAAGGATAATTGGGAGTAACACAGAGTAAACGTGTTCTTAAAGCAGTTGTTGGCGTTCTACCAACATAATGTTAACCTTCTCTAGCCGGCTTTTGACGAACGACACGAGCTTATTTAGTATACAGGGTCCAAAGATCAGTGCCACCATGATCATTACGACTGGACCTGTCAAGGTAGATATCAGGGTGGTTAGCCATGGCGAATGGTTGAACCATGATTCAAACCATCCTTGCTGGGCTTCTCTGTCTCTTTTTCTTTTTTCTAAACCTTCCCGAAGTTTGGCCATGGTACCACGAACGACACCAGTTTTGTCTGCATATACACAGCATTCTTCTCCCAAAGCGGCACATAGTCCTCCTTGTTGTAAAAACAAGAGGTCTAGTCCTCTACGGTTTTGGAGAACTACTTCCGACAATGAACTCAGTGATTGTTCTAAGGCGCTGATTGATTTCTCAATTCGAGTAAGATCCTCATCCACTGCAATTCTAAGGGAGTGAAATTTTTGATTCTGCTCAACTAATGAAGCTATTCCTGTTCCTGCCCCCGCAGCTCCTATGGCTAATAGGGTAGCTGTGGTCAAAGCAGTAAAAGGTTCTCGCTTCTGTACATGGTGCGAGGTTGAAGGAGTCAGATGGTCATAAACATATTCCTCAAGGTGATATATAATTCTCGGGATAATTAGCACTTGTATACAAAACTCAGCACTTGTCTTAAGTTCTTTAATAGATATGCACGGAGTAATTCCGGCCTTTGAACATATCCACTTGGTGTTATTGGCCGGGACTAGCCAATCAGCTATTTTTTTTTTTATTTTTTTTTTTGCTTTTGTGATGGTATTACATAGACTTCTTTTCCCAAGAGGTACAGTGCCAACACATGTACCTTGTCCTGACACACGTTGCATTGTTATTCCCTGTTTGTTTTGAGTATCATTCCATCAACATTGTATCGGATTTGTCCCGTTCACCCATTTTGGTCTGGAAGGTATACCTACGGCCTCAAAAAGAGGAGGTCTGACATCATAGCAAAGCCAACAATGAGTTGTCATGTTTGGATTTGTTGAATTTAATATTTGGTAGGTTGAGTTCAATAATTTCCATAGAGGGGGTAATTTGGGACCAAAAGTTATCACCTCCTCAGCTTCAATAGAAGTGGCTTCTCTGGTAGTGTTTTCCGTAGGGGTGGCTTTTTTGGCAGTGGTTACGGTGTCATGTTTTATAGGCTTAGGTGTTTGTGGATTAGGAACTGGATTAAGCCCGATAGCTTGAGGTTCCTGAGGTGCAGATCTCTTTTGTATCCTTATCAGTCCTCCTCTATCTTTGCTAGGTTCCCAGTATCTAAAACCCCAAATTTTGCCAACAGTCCACCCTAGGTCGTTTTCATTGGTTACATTTAAAAAAATATATTGACATTTGCACTGCTTGCCACGCGGGCATACTAACCCCCCCGAAAAGTCTGTTGTATAGGGGGTACAGCCTATTGGACCCCAGCTGGTCTTAAGAAACTGGTCTGGTTCCACTACCTTCCAGCCAGACGCGATGGTTTCACAGCCCCAGTAGGAACAATAATATGAATTAGGGAAGTTGCAGTAAGATTTGCCGGGATTAGAGCCGGGGCACATATAGTACATTATCTGATTCAAACAGGGTTCTATTGGAGCTAAATCACAGAGGTGCACCGAGAAACTAGGCGGTCCTGTGGTAACAACTTTCCGTACTATTTTCTGGTCCTCCCATCTTACCAACATCCATTCCCACGGTTGATGTTTATGTGAGCCATGAGATGGCGTTACAAACCCCAGGATTAAGATGAAAATCACATAAAGACGTTGCAGCCCCTTTTTGTGGGAGCTATTTCGCCGTTGTTTAAGTTCCGTCGGTGCAGAGCTCCAGGGAGCAGATGGAGTGATTGCTGGCTTCTCGTCCTCTCCTGTCACCGGGGCATATGGGTTACGAGGGTGTCCGATAAGTTGGTCCTGTGAATAAAAACTTACAGTTTCTGTTAGTTTCATTCCACTACTGGCATTATTTACATTATTATTATTGTTGCTATTATTGTCAGCCTGAAGATCTGGTTTGATAGACTTGAGTGGACACCATTTAACTTTGCCATCTTTTTTAACAGCTGCATACCCTCGTCCCTGGTGGAGAATGCAGGCAGTTTGCCATAACATGGCCTGCTTGGCCGCATTCGAAACATGCCATTATACTAGCTATTGCAGTATGAACAGCTGTCTGAATTGGAATTAGATGTTCTTCTTTCGCGACATGTCTAATCATGTCTGCCAAGCTCGACCCTACCGGTAGGGATCGTAGAATTTCTTTAGTACTAGCATTGCACTGTTGGCGCAAGCAGTCTGCAACGACCGGGCCTTTTGCTTCTACCGGTAGGGAGGAGGAATCAATCGCCACTTGAAGGCGATCCACAAACTGCGCGAAACTTTCACTCTCATTTTGTTTTATAGTTGACCATGGAGACGGCTTGACAATAACCTTAGAATAGCTTCTCTAGCAGCACGGGTAGTTGTCATCACCTCATAGGCTCGTAAACCTTGAGCCTGCGCTTGAGGTGTAATCATTGTTGGATCCGTTCCCATCAATCGTTGTAGACTAGAACCATACAATGGATGGTCCGCTCCTGTTACCTGAGTCAATTGTCTCGCACAGTTATCCTCCCAGTCTTGTTTGAAAACTATCATTCCTGCCCCATCAAAAATCAACCTACAAGTTTGTTTTATATCAAACGGGAGCATGTCATCTCCTCCGAAAACTCCGTCTATGAGGGTGGAAACCATGGCAGAATTAAGCCCTTTGTCTGCGATTGCTTTAACAATCGCTTGTATATCCTTAGGATTTATTGGCGAGTGGACCCTTTGTCCCCCGTCCGTCACTCGGACTGGGAACGCTAGTGTGGCCGATGGGGCCCAATCGGCACACGCTATCTTTATTTTTCTCCAATCCGTGAGGGGAATTTTTCCCCCTCGTAGTTCCTCTTTATTGCGAATGGGGATATTTTGGCTTTTGGCTCTGTCTATCTCTATTTCCTCCTCCTCTGAACTTGAATCAATTGCGTGCCACTCGTTCCAGGTAGTATCTGACCCGCAGTTGGAACTCGACTGACTGGTCACTTCCAGATTCCAGTGCTTTTTTGTTGGGTTCTGGCCCCGCCCACTTCCCTTGCGGGCGGACCGTTCCCTCCCTCTTAGCTCGCCCTGCCTTCTACCGGGCGGGGTGTTTGCCTTATAAGGGCATTTTTGCAGATGGCCACTCTGGTTGGGTTTCCGCCCCTTGCTCACACTCCCCTCCTCCCCCCGGTTGACCCTGCCGCTTTTCCCTTTCTCGTTCTCCTCCCCCTCCTGTTTGTGCGCGCGTATAGGTTTTAGTGCTTCTTCTTTATTCTCTCCAGGGGCACCTTCGCCCCGCCCTTCCCCTTTCTGGTCGGCGCCATTTTGGGGCACATAGGGCGGTGGTCTCGCCCAGGCGTGCTCAGACTCTGATTTCTCTGCGGCACTCCTGGCCTCCTCGAGTAATTTGCCCCAGAAGGATTTTGTTTGATTTTGTCCCTCCGCTAGCGGGACGGGGTTCGGGGACTGTGGGGGCATATCGCCCTCCCGCGAGTCTGTAGGCTCAGCAGGATTGCCATCATCGAGGGGGCACGGAGTCTGTGTGGCTGCCCCGACTCCTAATTTCGGGGTAACCTTCAAACAGTCCCTTGCCGCCCTCCAGGTATCCTGCTCTTGTATGGCCTTCTGCAGAGCCTGTACGACTCTTCCCCATGATTTAAGATTTTTCCCACAACCCGAAGACATCGTCTCCTCAGCTAACACTTTAGTGCATTTATCCCACACTTCTGGGTGGAGAATATCCACCAGCTGGTCAATGACCCCAATTTGTAAAATCCTCGCAACTGCAAGGGTAAAATCATTGGCTTTACAATCAATCCCCCACTGCTTATGTATTTGGGATACAACCTTCACAAGGGCTTCCAACCTCCTTGTTGGTCCTGGTCCGGGAGCGTCCTCTCCTGACCTCCCCCGCCGGGCTGGTCCAGCCGCTCCGGCCGCCATTCAACCGAATCCAGATGACGATTCCTGGGTTTCGGCACCACTTGTTGCCTATTCCAGGCATGGCGACCTGGTTCAGGAACGGCATGGAGGCCAATCCCCGGCCGCTCGGTCCATCTGCTCACAGACACCAATGTGGCGGACGGCAAATGGCGTTTTATTACTGAATGACACAGCCTTATATAGCTTGAGTTTACAACATCACTTCCATCTGCTTACATCATAAACTAAACACTATAGGAAGAGGGGTCATACCTTTCCGTACAGCGCGATATCTTCCGGCCGCCAGACCCTAACTACCTACAGCTAACAGCCGAGGGGGCGGGGCAAACTGCCGCAAGGGCGGGGCCAGCGGTCAGGTGGTCTGGCCTAACGGCCCAGGGGGCGGGGCTAAGGGCCGAGGGGGCGGGGCCAGCGGTCAGGTGGTCTGGGCTAATGGCCGAGGGGGCAGGACTAACTGCCGAGGGGGGCGGGGCTAACGGTCGAGGGGGCGGGGCCAACGGTCAGGTGGTCTGGGCTAACGGCCGATGGGCGGCGCTAACGGCCGAGGGGGCGGGGCCAGCGGTCAGGTGGTCTGGCCTAACAACCCAGGGGGCGGGGCTAACGGCCGAGGGAGCGGGGCCAACGGTCAGGTGGTCTGGACTAACGATCATGTGGTCTGGGCTAACGGCCAGGTGGTCTGGGCTAACGGCCCAGGGGGAAGGGCCAACGGTCAGTTGGTCTGGGCTAACGGCCGAGGGGGCGGGGCCAACGGTGAGGTGGTCTGAGCTAACGGCCGAGGGGGCGGGGCCAACGGCCCAGGGGGCGGGGCCAACAGTCAGGTGGTCTGGGCTAACGGCCCAGGGGGCGGGGCCAATGGTCAGGTCGTCTGGGCTAACGGCCGAGGGGGCAGGGCTAACGGCCGAGGGGGCGGGGCCAACGGTCAGGTGGTCTGGGCTAATGGCCGAGGGGGCGGGGCTAACGGCCGAGGGGGCGGGGCCAGCAGTCAGGTGGTGTGGGCTAACGGCCGAGGCGGCGGGGCTAACGGCCGAGGGGGCGGGGCCAGCGGTCAGGTGGTCTGCGATAACCTCCGAGGGGGCGGGGCCAAAGGTTAGGTTGTCTGGGCTAACGGCCGAGGGGGAGGGGCTAGCGGTCAAGGGGGCGGCGCCAATGGTCAGGAGGTCTGGGCTAACGGCTGAGGGGGCGGGGCCAACGGTCAGGTGGTCTGGGTTAACGGCCGATGGGGTGGGGCTAACGGCCGAGGGGGCGGGGCCAGCGGTCAGGTGGTCTGGGCTAACAGCCGAGGGGGCGGGGCCAACGGTCAGGTGGTCTGGGATAACGGCCCAGGGGGCGGGGCTAACGGCCGAGGGGGCGAGTCCAACGGTCAGGTGGTCTGGGCTAATGGACGAGGGGGCGGGGCTAACGGCCGAGGGGGGGGGCTAGCCGTCGAGGGGGCGGGGCCAACGGTCAGGTGGTGTGGGCTATCGGCCGAGGGGGTGGGGCCAACGGTCAGGTGGTCTGGGCTAACGGCCCAGGGGGTGGGGCTAACGGTCGAGGGGGCGGGGCCAACGGTCAGGTGGTCTGGGCTCACGGTCAGGTGGTCTGGGCTAACGGCAGAGGTGGCCGAGGGGGCGGGGCTAACGGCCGAGGGGCGGGTCCAGTGATCAGGTGGTCTGGGCTAACGGCCGATGGGGCGGGGCTAACGGTCAGGTGGTCTGGGCTAACGGTCAGGTGGTCTGGGCTAACAGCCGAGGGGGCGGGGCTAACAGTCAGGTGGTCTGGGCTAACAGCTGACGGGGCGGGGCTAACGGCCAAGGGGGCGGGGCCAACCGTCAGGTGGTCTGGGCTAACAGCCGAGGGGC